TCCTTTTCCGGGGCTACTTCCCTTCTTCTTTTAATGCCACTAGGACCAGCTTGAGAGTCACTGGACTTCTGTCGCACAACATATCTGTCCATAGTGGCCTGTACCTCCCGTTACTTTATGACATTCCTAAAGTGTTTCACAACATTGTCAGTGTAATAGTCACCAGCATGGCTTGCAATAGCTGTGTTAGGGTGATTGTCATCAAAAAAGGTTTGCACTTTAAGACACATTGCACACATTTCCTTAATCTGTGAAGTAGGCAACTTCTTCAGTTTCTCTATCCCCTCCTCCGAAGCAGTTTCCGCAGGTGTGGCCTCTTGCTGTTGAAGATGATCTAGCAGCTCATCAGTGGTTAGTTCTTCATTGTCCTCCTCCACCAACTCTTCCACATCCTCCCCACTAACCTCCAACCCCAAGGACTTCCCCAATGCCACAGTGGATTCCTCAACTGGCATAGGCTTCTCAGGGTTAGCCTCATATCCTTCAAAATCCCTTTTGTCTACACATTCTGGCCACAGTTTTTTCCAAGCAGAGTTCAAGGTCCTCTTAGTCACTCCCTCCCAAGCCATACCTATAAGGTTTATACAATTGAGGATATTAAAGTGATCCTTCCAAAACTCTTTTAGAGTCAGTTGAGTTTCTGTGGTCACTACAAAGCACTTTTGAAACCTAGCTTTTGTGTACAGTTTCTTGAAGTTGGAAATGACCTGCTGGTCCATGGGCTGCAGGAGAGGAGTGGTATTAGGAGGCAAAAACTTGATCTTAATGAAGCTCATGCCCCCAGAAAATCACTCTGCCAAGTCTGTAGGATGACCAGGGGCATTGTCTAATACCAGGAGGCACTTAAGGTCTAATTTCTTTTCAATTAGGTAATTTTTCACAGTGGGGGCAAATGCATGGTGTAACCAGTCATAGAAAAAGTCCCTAGTGACCCATGCCTTACTTTTTGCCCTCCACAGCACACACAAATTAGCCTTGAGGGCATTGTTTTTCCTGAACACTTCGGAGTTTCAGAGGTGATACACCAATAAAGGCTTCACTTTGCAATCACCACTAGCATTGGCACACATCAACAGAGTAAGCCTGTCTTTCATAGGCTTATGTCCTGGGAGTGCCTTTTCCTCCTGAGTAATGTAGGTCCTGCTTGGCATTTTCTTCCAAAACAGGCCTGTTTCGTCGCAATTAAACACTTGTTCAGGTTTCAAGTCTTCACTGTCTATGTAATCCTTGAATTCCTTCACATATTCTTCAGCTGATTTTTGGTCCGAACTGGCAGCCTCACCATGCCTAATCACACTATGTATGCCACTACGATTCTTAAATCTTTCAAACCAACCTTTGCTGGCCTTAAATTCACTCACATCAGCACTAGTTGCAGGCAATTTCTTTACCAAATCGTCATGCAACTGCCTAGCCTTTTCACAAATGATCGCTTGAGAGATGCTATCTCCTGCTATCTGTTTTTCATTTATCCATATCAATAACAGTCTCTCAACATTTTCTAACACTTGCGGTCGCTGTTTCGTAATCACAGTTGCACCTTTTGCAAGAACAGCTTCCTTGATTGCCGTTTTCCTGGTCACTATAGTAGAGATGGTTGATTGGGGTTTATTATACAACCTGACCAGCTCCGACACACGCACTCCACTTTCGTATTTTGCAATTATCTCTTTCTTCATTTCAGTAGTCATTAGCACCTTTTTTCTCGAAGGGTTGGCTCTAGAAGCTTTCTTGGGGCCCATGGTGACTTATTTTGCAGAAACAAGCACCAAAAACAGTGATAATGTGGAATGTACCGAATGTATCCTTAAATGCGCACACACTGGCTGGCTTGTAAACACTGGCACACACGGGGCAGTTCAGGCCACACGTGGACACGTCTCGTACGAATCGTATCGAATACCGGGTTTTCGATCGGATACCGAGGCAAAATTTTTGCGATATATTGCATCGAATACCGGATTTATCGAATATCGATGCCATCGAATACCGGGGGTCCACTGTACTTGCATCATCTACCATATTGCTCCCCTATCCACTCTATCGTATGTCTTTTGTAAATCTATAAGTGCAATGTAAACTCCCCTACCTTTATCTAAATACTGTTTACATATAGGCTTCAATTTAAACACTTGATCTACACATCCCCTACCTACTCTAAAGCCTCCTTGCTCATCTGCAATCCTACTCTCTGTCTTACCTCTTATTGCCTTTATATTTCATTTACGATATACGTATGTATACTCACTGAACTGTAAGAATCAATTTATGTTTGTCAGGGTGAGCTTTCGCTCCTGGGCCCTCTTGACTTCTGATTGATAACATGAATTAACTCGTTATCATATTTACATATAAACCTCCCTATATGGAGTCAGGGGATTTATGTATTTAGAAAATGATGTGGGATTACTAAAGGTATATTTCATAAGGATAAGGAGGGGCTCTTTAGGTCATTTAGGAAGTTAGAGAGGATGAAGCTGATAGATTGACTGAAGAGGGTATTTCTAAGGCAGAGAGGAGGAGCATGTGTCATCCCAGAAAGGATGGAAAAGATAAATGTTTGAATGCTAGCTGGCCTAAATGCCCATTAGGCTTGGGTGAGGGCATTACATCAGAGTGAATGGAAATGAGTGATTTTTATGGCTTGTCTTGCTGTTGGAGTGTCACCTAGGTAATGTTTATAAGGGAATTCAGGAAAATTGGTTTGCCACAGTTGAGTCCTAGATGTATGTGTGTGAGCATGTGTACTTACCTATTTGTGGTTGCAGGGGTTAATTCTTAGATCTTGGTCTTGCTTCTTCATTTGCCACTCTTCAGATTCACTCCCTCTAAGCCTCGTGTGCCTTATCATACCTGCTCTTAAAACTATATATTGAGCCTGCCTTCACCATTTCCTCACTAAGATCATTCTGCTTCCCAATTTCTTAGAATGAAAAATACTTCCTAACATCCCTGTGGCTCATCTGTGACTTTAACTTCAAGAACTGTTCCCAAGCTCCCATTTCAACTTCCTGTTCCTGTTTGCCTTATCAATTTACCTGAGTATTTTGTATGTTGTTATCATGTGCTCCCCTTCCCCTTTCCTTATTTCTGTCCTTCAGTGTTGTTAGGTTCAATTACATTAGCCTCTCTCTGTACCTCAATTCCCTTGGCTTATTGGTTGTCAATCATATGTTTGATAATTTAATTTAAATGTATTTTTATTATTCTTTATTTTGAGTTCATTTATGAAAATAAATGGTATAAAATACCGGCACAATGGAAACATAAACACATATGCAGTTTAATGTGATCCTTTATTGACAATGTTTCGCCCACATAGTGGGCTTTTTCAAGTCACAAACAGATCTACCTGGGGTGGAAGATACGTGAGTATTTTTTGTCAGGTTCAGAATGTTGAGGTCAGGTGGAGAATGCTGCATCTGATGATCTACCGGGTGGGGTTATAGAGTCTAAAATCTTGGGTAGCTTGGAAGGGGTATTGGATTCGACTGTCACCTGGCTCCGTTATGTTGACGACATTCTCCTCATAACTCCCAGGCGCTTCAACGTTCAAGCTCTCCAAGACAAGCTCAACCAGGTCGAGCCCTCAATCCAGTTCACACTTGAAGAAGAAGTCGACAACACTCTTCCTTTCCTTGATGTTCTTCTCTGCAAAGCTGACCATGAACTTCGTTTTAAAGTCTATCGAAACCAACCAACCAAAACGATCTTCTCCACTTCTACTCTCACCACGACACCAAAACTAAACGTGGTGTAATTATAGGCTTCTTCCTGCGCACTCTCAGAATCTGCAGCAATGAGTTCCTTGAGGAAGAATGCACTATAATTGAACAAGTATTTTCTAAACTCCACTATCCTCGTCACTTCATCAGAGACTGCAGACGACGGGCATTAAATATCTTCAACACACCCAGAGAAGACACTGCCGAGAAGAGATACATAGTCCTCCCCACCAACTCCATTGCCAAACATGTTTCCAACATCTTTTCCAATACCTCATTCCAAGTATCTACCTCCACAACCACGACCATCAAGGACATCACCAGTAGTAGACAGGACAAGCTTCCATCCTCTGCAGGGGTATACATAATCCCTTGTAATGACTGCAACAAATTATACGTGGGCGAAACATCAAGAGACCTCCAAACACGTATTTCAGAACACCAATACGCAAGCAGGACTGACGATACAAGGAATGCCTGTGTACAACATCGCAATTCACACAACCATTTAATTAACTACAGAAACTCAAGACTTATCACCACAGAAGACAACATTCAATACCGAAGAATCCAGGAATCATCGCTTATCTCTATAACCAACAATTTCAACCAGAACAATGGCTTCTATAACATAGCTGAACCACTTGCCAAGAAACTTCTTCATCGCTATCCCACATAAGAGCATAGAACACTGCAAAAGGTCTGCTCACAACTTATCCAATCTCCCTTCCAAGCTACCCAAGATTTTACTCTATAACCCCACCCAGTAGATCATCAGATGCAGCATTCTCCACCTGACCTCAACATTCTGAACCTGACTATAAATACTCACGTATCTTCCACCCCAGGTAGATCTGTTTGTGACTTGAAAAAGCCCACTGTGTGGGCGAAACATTGTCAATAAAGGATCACATTAAACTGCATATGTGTTTATGTTTCCATTGAGTTCATTTATCTTTAGCATATCATTCATTGCAGTTCTTCACATTTAAGGTTCATGTCTTATTATGCACCTGGTATCATATCAAATTGGCATGTAAAGACAAGTCATTCATTAAGTTTTAGGACTGACTTGCCATGCGTTTGAGCATTCTGTTTAGTGTGTTATTCACTGAGTTATCTACCTTTTGTTTAGTTTTATTTTGTTTTAAGTAATGAAGCTAAATAATGTGTCATTATTTTGATCCCAGTAGTTGATGCTCTTCTTTATTGATTCTGTGTCTAATAATCATCACTGGAGATGTTGTGAATTATTGCTTATTGCATTCTTTCCAGGAATTTGTTACTGGGCCAAAATGTGACCAATGTAAGCCAGACTCTTTCTACCTCAATGAGAACAATCGTGATGGATGTATTGAATGTTTCTGCATGGGCATCACTCGGCAGTGTACCTCATCCAACTGGTACAGACAACAGGTATCGTCTTAAACAATATAGTCTGTGCTAGTTCTTATATTAAAATGAATGTAAATTCCTTCCCAGTACAACAGTATTCTGTAATATTCTAAATAAGATTCTGATATATTTGTTATATCTTTTTTTTATAGGAATCTGTATCCTTTACTAATGACCGTCAAGGATTTGAACTGGTGGACAAGTTCCAGCAAACGGTTATCAGTAATGATATATTTGTTGACTCTGGTCGTCAAGAACTGGTGTTCCGCGAGTTCTCCCGAGTTGATCAAGAGGTACGTTTTTCTTTCTCTTAATGTATTAGTTTTTTCTTCATAGCTAACTAATCTAATCAAATTAATATATTTTGATTAATTACCTAAATTTTTATTTGGTAGATTTACTCAGTGAAACAGTTGCATTTAAACTGACTTGTGTGCATTATTTCAAGTGTATAGTACTATATAAAAACATGCTGGGACAAAGTTATGAATGCATATTCATATGAAATAGCACACTCATAATGAATAAATGCAGTAATTGAAAATATTTTATTGGATTTGAGGAACAAGTAAATTTGTTTGTTTTTCTTTACTCATGAATTTTCAGACTAAGAGCTGTTATCCTACCACACCTTATTCAAAGCCTAATCTTATTTAAGTTATACTAACACCCTTCTTTTTTCCACTTGAATATGGTTCACAGCAGTCTATAAATATCCAAGTACTTACTTATTGCTAGGTAAACACTGGCAACAGGTGTAAGTGTTGTGGGGGTTTGATTGATGGATATGGGAATAAACGCACACAATGGATGGAGTCACATAATGGCGGTAGGTACATAAATTTGCTCATAGGCATTTGCACATCTATTGGGTAAATACAGTAAACCAAATGTTGGGTTAAGAAAAATGGGGAAATGGAGAGGAATCCTTCCTCCATAAGTCATGCATGTTGTATGAGGCAACTAAAATGCTGGAAGCAAGGGTCTGTTAACTCTTTCTTCTGTATAAATTAATATAAAAAGAAAAAAAAGTTTCTGGAAGTATTTCTTCTCTTTTGGGACACCCTGTCTCAGTGGGAAACAGCCAGTGTGTTAAAAGGGGGGAGGGGAAAGATGGAAACAGTTATAAGTGATATAAATAGGGAATAAAAAAAAAACGTGAATATGTTTTTAGTTTTCTCCTTTTTCGGGCCACCCTGTCTTGGTGGGAGACAGCCAGTATGTTGTAAAATAAAAGAGATTATATAGAAAATAAGTGATAAAACCACTACAGATTCTTACAAAAAGTATGATAAATGGAGCAAATGGAGTGATATGATTTAATTTAGATGAGTGCCATGTAATAGATATGGAGGAAAGCAATAACAGGTCACAAAGGAAATTGTCAGCCTTTTATCATCACTGAAAAAAAAAAGATTGTCATAACAAAAGCATATACATAATTGAAAGCATGAGAAACTAACATGCTACATTGCCTAATTTTAAGGTAGCTTTTAAATATTTGGATAGATAAATGGAAGTGGAAAGTAATGTTTGTGCTGTGAAGGAGGAGTGATGATGCCTGTGCACTTCTTGCAAGACATCTGTTAAATGAGTAAAAGTGATTGTGTCTCCTTTATTGGGTCACTCTACCTTTTTGGGAGACAGCTGGTGTGTTAAAAAAATAAATTTTTACACAGCTGTATATTCATATACAGCTGTGTAAAATGGGTCCCATAGCTAAAAAAAAAATGCAAATTATGAAAAAAAAAAAAAAAAAAGCTGATGTATTAGGCATTCTTTCACCTAGTGATAGCAAAAGGCAAGCCATGATGATAATATATAAGATGATTTCTGAGCACCACCAGCTGGGAGGACAAAAAGACTGATTTTAGGAAACCACAACAAGAATGAACCAGAGCCCAGCCTACCAGGGTTGTGATGGAGCAGTCCATGACCTTCTGAGTGATTCAGTGAGGCCAACACAAAATCTCTCACCTCTGTCCATTGACAAAAGATGTTTGTTGTCCACTGATGTGCAGCAGTTCCAGGGGAAGGCTCAGTTTCTTGGCAAGTGAAAACAAGGACTACACAGATGCCCATGCTTGGCAGAAACATGGAAAAGTGCTTAGTTTCTATGAGTATCAGCACTCTCTTGGAATTTGGGAATCTGTATGAGTGTGGCCCCCCACACAGGCTGGCAGGAACAAAAGTAGGGTGTAATAATCAGATTATTAGGTAATCCTAGGAATTTAACCCATGCCAATTTTTAAGGAGCAGTATACTACTATAACTGTTCTTGTGACTACAGATACAAAATTACACAAAATTTACATTATAGTTTTTCCACGTAATACATTCACATACAAGAGCTAGTCAAACTGACTCATACTGCTATTGTAAACCTAATATTTTTTTCTGTAATTTAATAGCATTAATTGTACATAGATATTTTAATAATTTTAAATTTGTTGCAGGTCTATTACTGGAAATTGCCACAGCGGTTCCTTGGAAACAAGATATCCTCCTATGGTGGTAACTTAACATATAGTTTGCGTTATGTACCAGCACCTGGAGGTCAAAGCTCAGCAAATACTGCCTGTGCAGTGGAAATCTATGTACGTGTTTTTTGTTTTTCAAATATGATTATAATTTAAGACCTAGACAAGTTTTAACTTTATGAAAAAAGTATACAGTAACTTTATACAACAGTTATATGAACCTTCTCATTGTTTGCAGTTATATGCACAATATGTAACTTTTTCACTTTCCAGATTCCCAAAATTAATATTGCTCCCAGTGTCCACTTTTTAAACAAAAATGAAATATTTTTTCTAAAGATTTGGTAGAGAATGTTTTTCTGAAGGTAATGACACCAAAAGTACAAAATTTGATGGAAAACTTATGGAATTTGCAGGTGCAAAACTAACAGTCTTGATACTATTTATGCATCAGCAATTTTGCCCAGTTTGAGTCTTTTTTTTTAAGTCAATTCCATTGCTCCATTTGACCAAATTCTTAGCTATTTCACTAGTATGCCTTCCATTCTGTCGATTCTATTGAGTGCAAAACTATAAAAACTATAAAGTATACAGAAGTTGGTAATATGCCCAATTTTACACAAGCTGAAAAATTACAATTTAAAAGTAGAGTCCATAATAAACAATGTATAAAGTAAAAGGACACAAGTGCAACTAATGTGACATTTATTGTGGCAACGTTTCGCTCTCCAGGAGCTTTATCAAGCCATTACAAACAATACATGGACACAGAGGGTATATAAAGGCTCAGAGTGAGGTGAATACTAGTGAGGTACCATTTCGATGTTCACTAGTGGTAGTAGTAGTAGTAGTAGTAGTGGTAGTGACAAAAGTAATACAATATGGTAGAGCAATTAATTCGTACATGAGTAAAAGGATATAGAAGCTATTACTTGGGTAACATAAAAATAGGTTGGACAAATATAAACTGCCTCATTCCAGTTTATATTTGTCCAACCTATTTTTATGTTACCCAAGTAATAGCTTCTATATCCTTTTACTCATGTACGAATTAATTGCTCTACCATATTGTATTACTTTTGTCACTACCACTACTACTACTACTACTACTACCACTAGTGAACATCGAAATGGTACCTCACTAGTATTCACCTCACTCTGAGCCTTTATATACCCTCTGTGTCCATGTATTGTTTGTAATGGCTTGATAAAGCTCCTGGAGAGCGAAACGTTGCCACAATAAATGTCACATTAGTTGCACTTGTGTCCTTTTACTTTACATATTGTCGGTAATTCTACCAACTTTATTACATAAACAATGTAGACATTCCTTGTACTAAAACAACATTTCTTCTGTTCATTAGTCACATCCCCAGGCCTCTCCTATATTACACTTGCTTTCCATTTTGAATTCCTATTCACACAAAAATACAAAATTTATTCTATTTCTCAGATAATAAAATATAACCAGGAAAGATTGGTCATGCTTTACAATTTCCCAGTGATTCAATCAGCCCAATTATAAAACAACCATAAAAACAGACTGGGAGGTGTAGGGGGCCTTACCCATCCTCTGAAATATTGGTAACAATCAAATATTTATGCGACTTTGAGATCAATTTCAAGCTACATACTTTCAAAATCATCTCTGTTTCAGCAGTATGTCTTCCATTCCAATAAAACCCTAAAAACCATCTGAGAAAACACCTTAACTTTATTTTAAACCATTCACAAGGCCAGTTTTTTTCCCATCATTCACCACATGGGGCAGGATTTTTTTTTATACTATGCACATTTACCACACAGACCCATTCTCTTATTTCTAGGCCAAAATTTACCCTTCACAGCTTATCTGAGCAAATTGAACTTATGACCTAGAACTACATCAGGGACCCTGGCCTCAATTCTACCTTTGTCAGTTATTCATGTCATACAATGTGAATAAAATGTTCAGGAAAAAAATTAGATTCTTGCTTTGTATGTGTGTTAATTATGACAGTTTAATACCCCTGTAGCATTCTGAATAAACATGATACCAGTAAGAACATAAGAAAGGAGGATCACTGCAGCAGGCCTATTGGCCCATACTAGGCAGGTCCTTTACAATCCATCCCACTAACAAAGCATTTGCCCAACCCAGTTTTCAATGCTACCCAAGAAATAATCTCTGATAACTCTATCCACTCATTTGCAAGTCCCAATCAAATCCAACCCCTCTCACTCATATATTTATCCAACCTAAATTTGAAACTACCCAAAAGGGTGTATGGAGAGGAGTTTGAGGTAATCAGTCCCTCAGCCTGGAGTCGATGTGTTCAGTCCATCAATCTTGTAGAATAGCGAACTTTGAATGAGGTATGCCTGAACAGTGCATAATATATAAATACAGGGGGTTTGTAACTGAATGAGATATGCTTGTACAGTGCATAATATGTAAATACAGGGCTTTGTAGAAGTCCCAGAATGAGGAATTTTGTAATAGATTCATTGATAAGCATGATTCAACTACAGTATATAAATAATGGTATTTTAATCTTTCAGGGTAATGATATCACCTTGAAGCACTACAGCAAAAGCCAGTTAAGTGCTACTCGTCAAGAAACTGTTAGTGTCCCACTCTATGAACAATACTGGGAACGACAGGATGGTCAAGAAGCTAACCGTGAACATTTCTTAATGGCTTTAGCTGATCTAGAGTATATTCTCATCAAAGCTACATATACTACAAATTCCAGAGAAGTAGGGTAAGTCTGTAGAACACTCAATGGTAATTAATTTACAGAATGACTATTGACTCTGTTTTTTTCTAACACGTCGGCCGTTTCCCACCAAGGCAGGGTGACCCAAAAACAATGAAAGAAACTTTCATCATAATTCAACACTCACCATCACTCATACATAATCAATGTCTTTGCAGATGCGTTCAGATACGACAGCTTAGACGTCCCTCCAAATTGCCAATATCCCGAACCCCCTTCTTTAAAGTGCAGGCATTGTACTTCCCATTTCCAGGACTCAAGTCCAGCTAACTGGTTTCCCTGAATCCCTTCATAAAATATTACCCTGCTCACACTTCAGTAGCTCATCAGGTCTGAAAAATCATTCGTCTCTATTCACTCCTATCTAACATGCTCACGCACTCTTGCTGGAAGTCCAAACCCCTCGCCCACAAAACCTCTTTTACCCCCTCTCTCCAACCTTTTCTGGGATGACCCCTACCTCTCCTTCCTTCCCCTACAGATTTATGCGCTCTCCAAGACATTCTACTTTGTTCCATTCTCTCTAAATGATGAAACCACCTCAACAGCCCCTCTTCAGCTCTCTTACTAATACTTTTAGTAATTCCACACATCCTCCTAATTTCCACACTATGAATTCTCTGCATAATATTTACACCACACATTGCCCTTAGACACGACATCTCCACTGCCTCCTTGCTGCAGCATTTACAACCCATGCTTCACACTAATATAAGAGTGTTGGTACCACTATACTCTTGTACATTCCCTTCTTGGCTCCATGGATAATGTTCTTTGTCTCCACAGATACCTCAGAACACCATTCACCTTTTATCCTTCATCAATTCTCTGGTTAACCTCATCCTTCATAAACCCATCCACTGACAAGTCAACTTTCAAATATCTGAACACATTCACTTCTTCCATACTCCCTCCCTCCAACGTGATATCCGATTTTTCTTTGTATAAATTGTTTGATACCCTCATCACCTTCTCTTATCAATGTTCACTTTCAATTTTCTACCTTTACACACCCTCTCTCTCTACCTTGAAAATCTGATCTACAGTTATTTCTATCATTATTATTACTATTGTCATCAGGTATGATTTTTAGTGGTATATACAATATTTTGAGGGTTCTCAGGAATATGACCTAGAACATATTTTTTTTTTACATTAACATGTCAGTAATTTTCATATAGTCGGACTTGAGTCCTGGAAATGGGAAGTACAATGCCTGCACTTTAAAGGAGGGGTTTGGGATATTGGCAGTTTGGAGGGATATGTTGTGTATCTTTATATGTGTATGCTTCTAAACTTGTATTCTGAGCACCTCTGCAAAAACAGTGATAATGTGTGAGTGTGGTGAAAGTGTTGAATGATGATGAAAGTATTTTCTTTTTGGGGATTTTCTTTATTTTTTTTTTTGGGGTCACCCTGCCTCGGTGGGAGACGGCCGACTTGTTGAAAAAAAAAAAAAAGTCAGTAATTTTATTATTGTTTGAATTCTGTTTTTTTTTTTTTTCATACATTACTATGAAACCTGTTGTATCGTTATTCAAATAAACAGTAATTCCTTATTGAAATAGTTTTTAATGGAATTTTATAATTTCAGAATTAAGGAGGTAATTTTAGATTATGCTGAGCCTCGAAACACTGGTCAGGTACGCGCTTTAGCTGTCGAAATGTGTGAGTGTCCGCAAGGCTATCAAGGACTTTCATGTGAAGATTGTGACATTGGTTACACCCGGAGTTTGTCAGGTCTTCACTTGGGTACTTGCAGACCGTGTGGCTGCAATGGACATTCTGAAGAGTGTGACCCAGAAAATGGAATGTGTACAGTAAGTATCTTAATTCTTTACTAATTGGACTATTTCCTTTATGTGTATTTCATCAGTTAAGATTGTAACAGTGATTTTTTTAAATATTAAGAAGCAGTCAGTGCCCAAGGACAGAAACATCTTTAATAAAGGTGTCCTTAGTTAGAGATATAATGAGAGGTACAGAGCAGGAGAGAGAGAGAAAGAAAAAATAGAATGGGAGAATGTTGTAAGTAGTGGCACTACTGTTTATACTGTGCTGTATATCGTCTTATGAACATTTAATGGGCAGTTTACAAATATGCCAGGTTAATTCAATGATGGCAAAATTTTATGTTTTTTCTAATGCTTTCAGATGATCTTTATAATGTTCTATTACTGAAGAAATGGAGGAAAATTCTAGTTAAAGTTACTTTCAATGTGACAAAATACAATTGGTGGTAGAAAGATTAAGATTATTATTTGAGTTGGATGTTAAGAAGTTTTATATTTTCAGAACTGTAGAGACAACACTGCTGGATTTTCCTGTGAAGAGTGTTTGCCAGGTTTCTATAAAGCAGATGGCCGTTGTTATCGTCAAGATGGTGGGGAGCCTGACTGTAACTGTGATATGCGAGGTTCTGTCTCATGTGAAAATGGTATCTGTCGGTGCAAGGTATGAAAATTTCATGAGTAAATGCTACATACAATAGGGCCCCGCTTTACAGCATTTCACCTTATGGCATTCTGCTAATACGCCGATTTCAAATTATGACCAAAACTTGCTATACAATGTATGGTGATTTCAAATTATGACCAAAACTTGCTATACAATGTATGGTGATTTCAAATTATGACCAAAACTTGCTGTATGAATCCCGGTCTTTCTAATACAGTGTGCCCCACCCGATTTGTTTACATTCTCCGTGAGCACATCTCTCTGTTATGTGTGGAAACTTTCCAAAATTTAAAGTGTTTTAAAGTTATTGCATATTTTATATATAGGTAGTAGAGCACTCCTAGGTAGTAGGTTGGTAGACAGCAACCACCCAGGGAGATACTACTGTCCTGCCAAGTGAGTGTAAAACGAAAGCCTGTAATTGTTTTACATGATGGTAGGATTGCTGGTGTCCATTTTTTGTCTCATAAACATGCAAGGTTTCAGGTACATCTTGCTACTTCTACTTACACTTAGGTCACACTACACATACATGTACAAGCATATATATATATACACACCCCTCTGGGTTTTCTTCTATTTTCTTACTAGTTCTTGTTCTTGTTTATTTCCTCTTATCTCCATGGGGAAGTGAGACAGAATTCTTCCTCCGTAAGCTATGCGTGTTGTAAGAAGCGACCAAAATGCCAGGAGCAAGGGGCTAGTAACCCCTTCTGTATAAATTACTAAATTTAAAAAGAGAAACTTTTGTTTTTCTTTTTGGGCCACCCTGCCTTGGTGGGATACGGCCGGTTTGTTGAAAAAAAAAAAAATAGTAGAGCACTAGCTAAAAATTACAGACCAGTAGCCCTAACTTCTCACATCATAAAAATCTTCAAAAGAGTGATGAGACGGCAGATTTCAAAGTTCATGGACGAGCACAACCAACATAACCCGAACCAGCGTGGTTTTAGAGGATCATACCTATCACAGCTGCTGAACCATTATGACAGAATTATAGAGGCATTGGAAAAGAACCAAAATGCAGATATGATTTACACAGATTTGACAAATGCGATCATGGAGTGATAGTGCACAGAATGAAGGCCATTGGCATTATAGGGAAGGTAGGCAGATGAATTTTCTGGTTCCTAACACACAGAACACAAAAAGTAGCAGTGAACAGGGCAAGATGCAGCATCAGCAAGGTCAGAAGCTCAGTGCCCCAAGGCACTGTCCTGGTACCTCTGCTGTTTCTCATCCTCAAAGCAGACAGAAACACCTGGCACACTTTTGTATCAGCATTTGCAGATGACAATAAAATAAGCATGAAAGTCACCATGGAAGAGCACACTAAAAAATTACAGGAAGACATGAGCAGGGTTTCGTAGTGGGCAATGGAAAACAACATGACGTTCAATGGTGATAATTTGCAGCTACTTAGGTGTGGAAAAATTGAAGAACTCAAAAGGAACACTATATACAGAACTCAAGAGGGTCACCAAATAGAACGAAAGGAACACATAAAAGACCTGGGGATAATTATGTCAGCTGACCTTTCTTTTGAAGACCATAACAAGACGAAGATCACGACAGCCAGGAAAATGATGGGGTGGGTATTGAAAACTTTCAAAACAATGGAAATAATGCCAGTGGTGACACTCTTCAAATCGCTAGTGCTCCCTCACTTAGAATATTGCTTAGTGCTGACAGCCCCATTCATAGCAGGAGAAATACAGTGGACCCTCATTTTTCGTAAGGCTCAAAAGTCGTAATTTTCGGAAATCGTAATGTTTTTTCGTCAAAACATTGACTCGCGAATTGCCGTTTGACTTGCAAATAGTCGTTCGTCCTGGACGCGTACTCTCGGCTTCGAGCCGCCTCACACTCCCTTCCCAGTCAGTGTGCCATTGTTTACCAGTGAGTGACCGTCCTCTCACTTGTTCATATGAAATATTTCATAATATTCCATTCATTTTAGTGCTTGCAACTGCTAAATAAGCTACGATGGCTCCAAAGAAAGCTCCTAGTGCCATGCCTTTGGTAAAGAAGGTGAGAAATATGATTGAATTCAAGAAAAACATCATTGAACAATGTGAAAGTGACATACGTGTGGCCGAACTGGCCAAGGTGTATAAGAAACCCCATACAACTATAGCGTCCATTATGGCCAAGAAAAAGGAGATCAAGGAAGCTGTTGTTGCAAAGGGGGTAAATGTGCTGACAAAAATGAGATCGCCAGTACTCGAAGATGTTGAGAAGTTATTGTTGGTGTGGATCAACGAGAAACAATTAGCAGGAGATAGTCTTATGCAGTCGCTTATTTGTGAAAAGGCTAGGCAGTTGCATGACAATCTCGTGAAGAAATTGCCTGCAACGAGTACTGATATTTGTGAATTTAAGGCCAGCAAAGGCTGGTTTGAGAGATTTAAGAACCGTAGTGGCATACACAGTGTGATAAGGCATAGCGAGGCTACCAGTTCGGACAAAATTGCAACTACAAAATTCGTAAGTGAATTCAAGAAGTACATACAGACTGAACAGTTAAAACCACAACAAGTGTTCAGTTGTGACGAAACAGGCCTCTTTTGGAAGAAAATGCCAAAGAGGACCTACATTACTCAGGAGGAAAAGGGACTGCTAGGACACAAGCCTATGAAATACAGGCTGACGCTCATGTTTTGTAGTAATGCTAGTGGGGATTTCAAAGTGAAGCCGTTACTAGTGTACCATTCTGAAAATCCCAGAGTGTTCAAGAAAAACAACGTTATGAAGAGTAAGTTGTGTGTGTTTTGGAAAGCTAATAATACGGTATGGGTCACGAGGGAAATTTTCATCGAGTGGTTCAATGAAGTGTTGGGCCCCAGTTTGAAGAATTACCTCCTGGAAAATTAATTTGATCTCAAGTGCCTCCTGCTAATGGACAGTGCACCTGCTTATCCTCTAAACTTGGATGACCTAATTCTGGAGGAGTATGGGTTCATCACAGTAAAGTTCTTGCCCCCTAATACCACTTTTCTCCTCCAGCCCATGGAACAGCAGATCATTTCAAACTTTAAAAAACTCTACACCAAAGCAATGTTTCAAAGGTGCTTTAATGTGACCTCAGACACTCACTTGACCCTAAGAGAGTTTTGGAAAGATCACTTCAGTATCCTCCATTGCATAAGCCTTATAGGTAAGGCTTGGGAGGGTTTGACTAACAGGACTTTGAACTCTGCTTGGAGAAAATTGTAGCCAGATTGTGTCCACAAGAGGGATTTTGAAGGGTTTGGGGCTGACCCTGACGAGCCTATGGCAGTTGTGGAATCTGTTGTGGCATTGGGGAGTTCCATGGGGTTGGATGTGAGTTTGGAGGATGTGGAAGAGTTGGTGGAGGACCACAACAAAGAGCTAACCACTGAGGAGCTGCAAGAGCTTCAGCTGGAACAGCAATAGACTGCAGCTCAGAATATTGCTGCAGAGGAGGAAGAAGAGAGATGGAAGAAGGTGCCTTCTTCAGAAATTAAGGAGATTTTTGAAATGTGGAGTAAAATGGAAAGATTCATGGAGAAACATCACCCTGACAAGGCTGTTGCAAGCCATGTCGGCAACATGTACAGTGACAGTCTTGGCCCATTTTAGGGAAGTTTTAAAGAAATGCCAGAAACAGTGCTCTCTGGACACTTCTTTTGCGAGACAGGGCTCCAGTGACTCTCAAGCTGGTCCTAGTGGCATTAAGAAACAGAGAAAAGAAGTGACCCCAGAAAAGGACTGGGAACCTGAGGTCTTGATGGAAGGGGATTCCCCTTCCAAACAGTAATTCAATCTCTCTCCTCCTCCAGTCTTCTATACACTAAGAAGAATAGCCAATAAAGGTAAGTGTTATGCTGTTAATGTTTCATTTATCATGTCCCATTGTATTGTATATGTACTTCATCTATATTTCATGTAAACAAAATTTTTGTTTTAATACTTTTGGGTGTCTGGAACGGATTAATTGTATTTACATTATTTCTTATGAGGAAAATGGTTTCGAAAATCGTCAATTTCGGAAATAGTCACACTTTCTGGAACGGATTAATTACGAAAAACGAGGCCCCACTGTATCTGAGCTGGAACACATACAGAGATCATTTACGGCTCACATTGAGCCAGTAAAACACCTAAATTACTGAGAGCACCTTCAAGTCTTGAACATGTACTCATTGGAGCAGAGGAGAGAGAGAGAGATACATGATAATATATACTGTACCTGGAAAGTACTCAAGGGCCTGGTCCCAAATCTGCACACTTCCATAACAACATACTGGAGTGAGAGATATGGGAGGAAATGTAAAATAAACCCAGTGAGGAGCAGGGGTGTGGTGGGCACAATAAGGGAACGCTGTATCAACATCCGTGGTCCCAGACTGTTCAACATCTTACCAGAAGATATCCGAAACACAACTGGAACAAGTGTAGAAGCCTTCAAGAGGAAACTGGACAAGTATCATCACCAGGTGCCAGATCAACCAGCATGTGATGGTTATGTGGGGCAGTGGGCCTCCAATAGCAATAGCCTGGTTGACCAGGCAAGCACCAGACGAGCCTGGCCCATGGCCCTCAAAACTCTTCAAAGGTATATCAAAGGTACTCTGATAATTATAAAATGCAGATGTGATTTACACAGTTTTTGCAAAGGCATTTGACAAATGCGATCATGGAGTGATAGTGTACAAAATGAGGGCCATAGGCAATACAGGGAAGGTAGGCAGATGTATTTTCGGGTTCCTAACACACAGAGCACATTGTGCAAGTTTCAGTAAGATAGCCCAACAAACAACTGAGAGAAAAAAAATAATAATAATGTGTGCTGTCACCTTAGTTGTTCAATATATTTATTGTTGGGGTTGTAAGAAAAGTGAATGCGAGGGTCTTGGCAAGAGGTGTGGAGTTAAAAGATTAAGAAGTTGTTCTTTGCTGATGTCACCGTGCTTTTGGGAGATTCTGAAGAGAAGTTGCAGAGGTTGGTGGATGAATTTGGTAGGGTATGTAAA